ACTGAATCAACGGATTAGCCTAGCCTGCCTGCACTCGGGGTCTGGCTCGATCATGTGTGGTTGCATGTCTTTGCTTCTTTGAGCGTGTCTTGGGGAGGGGGGGGTATCTATTCATGCCATGCCACAGTACGACCACATGCTGTGCAAATCTCCCCCGGAGACTTTCAAGAGTGAGTCTGGTATGTAAATCCACGAATTTCCCAATGGCTACGCAAATCCGGTATCAGCAACGCCTAATCCCCTCATGATACGCTCGCTCCTTGAACACAAACGACATCGCTAGACAGCAATCACCGGCGCCTCAACAGGCACACTACTCAACACGGGCACACTCGTAGCCGGAAAAATGGGATGAAGCGAGTATACAGGCCCCGCGCTGTCCTCGCCGTCAAACAGCATGAGATTTTGAATCGGCTGCTCGCGCTGGCCAAGCACATTGATGACATCCTGAGCGAGCTGGCCGCCCAGAAACGCCGTGACGGGCGCGATTTCGCTGCCGAGATTCTGCAAGAAACTGCGGAGGAAGTCTGCGGTGAGGGTTTCGGAGGGGAGGAAGAGTTCTTGGTGTTTGATGTTGGCGAGGGTGGTGAAGAGCTGGAGGTCCTGTGGGGTGTGGGTTGGGTAGATGCCGTGGCCGTTGCGTTGGAATTCCCAGAGGGCGCGGACGCAGGTGAGGAGGGGGTGGACTTTTTTCAGGCGGCGGGCGTTGTTTGAAATGTCGGTGGCGAGGGGCGAGTCCTTGGCTAGCATGAGGGGAGAGTAGAGTTCCTGCTTGGTGACCATTTCGACGACTTTGCCGCTCTCCCGCTTCACCGAGACGGATTGGACGCTGCGTGTTGCGCTTTCTGGGCCTGTCTGTGTGGCCCGGTTGCTCTTCTCGCGCTCGATGACAAAGCTGTGGGAGACGAGGTCGGCGAAGATGTAGCCGTACATGCCATGAGAGGCGCTGGCATAGAAGGGCTTGCGCGCGATGCGGGCACCGGCGTTGAGGGCACTAGAGGAGAGGAAGTCCATGTCAGTTGCAATGATGATGTCGTAGGCGGCGTAGAAGCTGGGGTCTTGCTCGTTGCGGATGTCGGTGGTCAGGACGTTTACTTTGACGCGTGGGTTGAGTTTTTGGACTTGGGGGGCTGCTGCTTGGGCGCGCTGGGTGAGTTAGCAGTGGGTAGGCAGAGTCTCAGAGAGACAGCAGGGCAGGCCGTCATACGTTTTTGCCTACATCTTCGTCGGTGATGAAGAATTGGGCGCCCAGGTCCTCCTCAGTGACGAGCTCATGGTCTGCGAGTGTGATGGAGCCTATGCCGGCGAGGACGAGGTTTTTTGCGATTTCGTTGGCGAGCGCTTTGATGGAGACGAGGAGGACGTTGGCGGTGCGGATTCTAGTCTGGTTAGTTGGACAGATGGAATGCTTGTGGTAGTTGGCTGCTTACTTCTCCTGCGCCTGGACTCCCCACAGGCGGATTTGACGGTCGTATAGGGCGATTTCGTCGGCAGAGATGGAGTCTGCTTGAGCCATGGCGGTGACGGTCTGCTCTGCTGCATCATGGGATTGTGCAGGGATGGCGCCATTGCTGATGTGCAGTTGCTCGTTTGTTGCATCCGTGAGGTCGGTCATGGTGATTTTGAGTCTTCTGGCGTGTCGCTTTCGGTTTCGATGTTGGAGGGAGAAGAGAAAAGGGATGGGGTTGGCGCAATATACAGGGGAGAGCAATTGAAAGTTCCTTGTCAACCAAAGATGGCTGGCTCAATTGGTAATGTTATGCGCAAAGCTATATGAGGTGAAGGGGCAGTGTAGTCGAGTGCATAGGGCAAAGTACGTAAAGGCAGAGCGGAGGTTGGTGATGCAGCCAAGCTGCTTTTTGTTTGTTTGCTTGAATGGTAAACAGTGTGTAGGTTGTAGGTTGTGGGTGGGTTGTAGGTTGTAGGTTGTAGGTTGTAGGTTGTAGGTTGTAGGTTGTAGGTTGTAGTTGAATGTACCTACGCTCGTTCCCTAGCGCGTGCTGGGGGGAGGGGAGAGAAGAGTGCGGCTCTGCGGTCGGTACGTGTTCCGCTGACCCCGCGTTCCAGACACTCTTTCTCGCACTGGAAACTGGGCTGCCCGAGGTTTGGTTGCCCTTTGACTGCGCCGCTTCTTTTGCCTGGTCCTTCGTTTTTTGATGTGACCCCCACACAGGATCCCCTAGGTATACTCCATACTACTGTGTTCTACCTAGCATAGAGTACACAGTCTACCATATCCCGTCACCTCTGGCCACCATCATCCCACGATCCAGCCCCAACACCCACCTTGCACTGCCCACTCTTGTAGTATTGCCCTTTCTTCGCCCTTCTTCCATCCAAAGGCTCTGGCTCTGGCTCTGGCTCTGGCTCTGGCTCTCTCCCCCATGCCCGTCAGCTGGCACGTCATCGGTCATCAATGCCCCCCAGACCGCCAGCCTCGTCCTCGTCCTCGTCCTCTCCCTCGCCCTCACCCTCACCCTTGCCCTCGCCTCGGCCGACTAGCTTCCCCTACACTATAGCCTCCTTTGACTACCCACACGCCTCGACATCTCCCCGCCCCGCCCCTCGTACAGGGACTACCGGCGGTGGTAGTACTACCAGCACGGCTCGGAATGACCTAGGCTACCCCCTCGCACCACCACCACCACTACCACCACCACTACCACCACCACCCGAGCCCCTCCTCCCACTCTCCACCCGCAACGACCGAGCATCACGACAACGACGACGACGACAACAACGACGAGACCGCTTTCTTTCACCCGAACCAAGACTTTTGCCATCCATGCGGCCTCCCACGGCGCACCCAAACCGCCCCCGTGCCATGCCAAGCCTGCGCAATCTCCGTCGCTCCCACGCCCGCTCTCGGGACGACCAGTTGACTGCAGACATGGACGCTGTGCCCGACTTTGCCAGCCTACTGAACGATATGCCCGCCAACGATCCTTTGGCTCCCTCCCACTCACAATCACTGCCACTGCCACAACCAAGCCACCGTCCTCGTAGCCCAACCGTCCAGATCAACAGCGAGCGTCGTAGCAAACGGAGAAAATTGCAGCACGACACGCACGAAAAGAATGAATACACTTGCTACAAGTATGGCTACAGAGGCCAGGTGGTACCGGGACGTCTGCGCATGGACATTGTTAGCTGTGACGGCGGAGAACACCGCAAGGACAACACGCCCGGCCTGTATAGGGTACAGAACGTGCTGCGCAACGACAAGAGCGTCTACTGCAGCGAGAGTTCGCAATGCAACCTATTGCTAAAGCACATGGGCGAAGCCCCTTTTGCGCTCGAGAAAGTGGTCATTCGAGCGCCCGATCGTGGCTTCAACGCTCCTGTTCAAGAAGGACTCATCTTCGTTTCCATGTCCGCAGACGAGTTGCTGTCTAGCACGGCCGCCTATTGCATGCAATATCGATCGCAGTCTCCTCTCAGATCGCCTTCCCCACTCTCTCACAGCGAAGACGACGTCTCGGGTGAGGAACCGTTGTTGCTGAGAGAAGCTATGAATGATTCGCGAATCTGGCAGCAGATGAGTCAGGCACACCAGGCCACCCGAATGGACACATCGGACAGTCTGGAGAGTCTTCAACGTCGCAGCGACGAACTGCTCCGAGCCGTTTCCTGGTTGAGTAATTCCGACAGATTGGATCAGCTTGCATTCGATCATCTCACTCGCCCAGAGCGCCAACAACGCCCCCATTCTGACTCCGAGCGACGACGGATTCTGCGCCAGATGGTCGAGCACGAAGAGGAACAGGATGCCGACAACTGCGATCATGCTGCCGACGAGCCTTACAACAATGCCTTGGGACTCTCTGCGCCCACGCCACCCCCTTTTACCGTCACGACAGCGACAGAAGAAGACGAGTCGGATTCGAACGAGGAAATGCCAAGTGCTGCCGTTGCGCAAGATCGCCGACGAAGAGAAAGTCGCTGGCAGCCAGAGAGTGATGAAGAGGAAGACGAGTATATGACGCGTATCGGACGGCTTCATCGCGTCCAAGCTCTCGATTACACCGCGTACGACGAATGGCGAGAAAGGCGTGAAAACGGCATCCTTGAACCGATTCGGCCCGCTCGCGTTGCGACCCCGAGCCGAATTGCGATTACAGAGACTCCGTCTCCTGCCGATGGTCTGATTCCTCCTCACGCGAGGTTCTTTATTGCGAAGAACAAGAATAAGATTACCATCAAATTCACGCCTGCCATGTAAGTCCCTGCTTAGTAAATCCGGAGAGACAATCGGCTAATGATAGATGTAGTTCGGGAAAACATGTGTTGCTTAAACTCTGGAGTCCAAAACACGACGGCAATATTGATATTGAAAGTGTGCAATTCCACGGCTATTCGGGCCCACGATTCTTTCCAGCCACTCAGCCGCGATAGAGAGCCTTCTGTGCCATTATGATGTATTCTGAATATACCGGAGCAGCGCATTGGAAGTCGAACTTGACACTATGGACAACTACTTGTTTGCAATGATTTTACGAATAATGATACCCATGTAGTACCTTTCTGTAGTCCAAAATCCACCTTGCAGATCGGTGGTGGCTTATGTTGGACGGCAGCTATTCTATAACAATATGGGAAATACAATTGCTTGGATTATTCATGTCGGATACTTTTTTTTCCTTTCCTTTAGAACCTGCAGAACTCAGCCACGTAGATGTTCATCTCGAAGGGACGTTGTAGAGTGAAATTGTGTTTGTGACGGTGACTTTGATGATGGATTGCAGTCGTTAGGTAACGCCACACCATGTCCAATGCATCTCCAGCATCGCCGAGGCCCAAGCTCCAAACTTAGGCGTCACCACTGGCGTGACAACCAAAGCACCAAGTCGCCTTCAAGGTCTGCTCCCACCTGCTCAGTGATTTCGCTCGGGCTCACACAGCGAAAGCAACTTGGGCTTACGCACGACGATCATGCGACCCAGATAGAGCAAGGACATCCGACCTCAAGCCTGTCATGGCCTACGACATGTCGAGCGGATATGCTCCGCCGAGCACGAGTAATATGGAGGAAGAGGAGTCGCTTCCCATGTTCAACATAGAGCGCGTAACGCTGCAGTTCAACATTTCCTCCGACTTTGTCGCTGCCGCTGTTGCCAACAACGTTCTCATATTGGCCCTTTCCACCGGGCGCATACTGCGGATAGACCTCGATAGCCCCGCCGACATAGATGGTTCGTTTAGCCATGTTTCAAAACTGCTACAAGCCTCCACGCGCCCAATACTGACCTTGATAAGACATTGACCTACCGAAGAGACCTTCAGAAGTGGGGGTCATTCGCCGCCTCTTCCTGGACCCTTCCGCCTCGCACTTGATCATCACTACTACGCTCGCTGAGAACTACTATCTACACACACAATCACGAACACCAAAGCCACTCTCTCGTCTCAAGGGTGTCGTGATAGACAGCATTTGTTGGAATCCATCCCAGCCGACAGCATCGACGCGCGAGATTCTGGTCGGAGCCTCAGACGGAAATGTCTATGAAGTGTACATTGAGCCCTCGTCTGAATTCTACCGCAGAGAGGAGCGATACCTTAAGAGCGTATACAGGACCAACGATGGCCCAATTACTGGTTTGTGGACAGATATCATCCCAGGAAGAGCAGATCTACGGCGAGTCATCATTGCGACACCTTCGACTTTCTTACACTTTGCAGGCAAGGTCGGACGCCAGGGCTCAGAGGGTAGCGGTTCCATATTCACGAGACTGTTTGAGAGCGAGTCGGCGACGGTACACGAGATTCCGAATGTAGCCTCGACTGCCCCTTCGCTTCTCGCTGTCTTTAAAAGGGAGCCACGTTCGAATGGATGCGTACGTGCAAC